AAATTTTTTTTTTTTTTTTTTCTTCTTCTCATAATTGTTGCTTTCATATAATTTGGTGCCTGATTTAAAAGAATCCGAAGTGAAGTAGTAATGAATGTGAAGGGCTCAGTTACTAATTACAGAATGTGGTTTATTATCCAAGCCTAGACTTTTACATTGACTGTGTTTTTTACTTGGAGTTGGTGGGATGGCTTGTGTCTTTGCTCAGAGTTGACCGATCTAAGCCTCTTTATATGCTCAAGACGCTCAGAACGTTTATATGCTCAAGACAGATCTTTCTCCTTGTTTATCGTGGGAGATGCTTTTGTGCTCATAAATTATAGTATTTACGTTGGCTCTACTTCTGTTAAGGATTTATGATTCTTTTTTTTATGAGTTTCTTTTCCTCTAAAGATGTCATATCTGGATCATCCGCCTCAGTGGTGTGCCACTTGCAGATCTATACATCTAGGGCAGAATGTAATGTTGGAATTGGTTGATATATATACTCTTGTATTCGAGAGTGTTGAATGTTTTCTTTTGATACCAATTTAACAGCCGCCCAAATGAAGGAGTGCATCCAGCCTCCGTCATTATATCAATGACTTTGCCTAGATGTGCATTTTAGGAAGTATTCAGGATGTGAAGACTATAGTATAGCATGTGGGGATGACCAATAAGCCTGTCATTTTGGGTTTTATGGTTCAGCTTCTCAACTGGTATGTGGTTTTAACCACCTGATGGAATGATCTCAGAGTTCTCCTGTTTGTGGGAAATTCGGATAACTCTGCCAATGTACGTGCTGCAAACCCATAAATGTTAAGATCAGACCAGTATATTTGTACTATTTTGATGTAGAGAAGAGTCAAATTGAGCTTTCAGCTAAGGCCTTGGTTGTGATTGCAGTCATTTTAATAAAAAGTTTCAAACTTACAATAATAAATTTTAGTAGGGTTATATGAGCTCGATCCATCAGCTTTGTTTGTCGCAAAGTAACTTCCGGTTGAGGTCAACGTTTAGAGCTTTTGCTTCATAGAAGCTATGCTTTAATAGCTAATCCCCCCNTAGGGAAAACCATGCTATAGCATTTGAAGTTATTGGTTTGATGTTTTTCTGAAAGCAAAAAATAAGATGTATAATGACTACTTCCCTGAAAATTTGAGGCGCTCTGCTGCCATAATATGCTGGCAATGTAAGATGCCTGATTTATTTAATGACCCTACCTGCAAGTACTCTGAAATATCTGCAGTTTCCGCTGGTAATAAATCTTCCAACTGCACTATGGATTTCTCTTTTAAACTTGCATATAACGATCTAGATGAATGTATATAAACATGAGTTGCTTGCATGAATATTGTCGTGCCATTTTCAAGAACTTAGGCCATAAAGTTGGCGAGTGCCAACTGCTATTTTCATGCAGTGTCTCATCATCAGACCTTGTATCCAAGTGGATGGGTGAAAGTGAGAAGCTAGTTTCAAACCTTTTCCAAATGGCTCGTGAAAGCGCTCCTTCCATTATATTCGTTGATGAAATCGATTCCCTGTGTGGACAGCGAGGAGAAGGAAATGAGAGTGAAGCTTCCCGACGTATTAAAACAGAACTCCTTGTGCAGATGCAGGTAATTGATTTATCGTGGCTATGGTGTGATTCTTTGATCTCTCATAACCACCCCTTCCCCCATCAGAAAGAAAAGAGGAAGAGAAATCCCCCTGGCTAAATACGCCTTTTTCTTATTCAATTTGTATTTTCAGGGTGTTGGACACAATGATGATAAAGTTCTTGTACTTGCAGCAACAAATACACCCTATGCCCTAGATCAGGTATAGAATGATCTGCGGTATAAAGTAGCATATCATAGAAGTCTTTTGCTGACAGATATTGTTCTCTACAGGCTATACGGCGAAGATTTGATAAGCGTATCTACATTCCTCTCCCAGATCTGAAGGCACGGCAACACATGTTCAAAGTAAATCCTGTTCTGTTATTTTTCTCGGAAAGTGAAGTTCATGAAATATATACTGCTATTACTCTTGTCAGAACTTTAGGTTATTTAGTTTGGCTTGTCACACCTTGCAGGTTCACTTAGGCGATACCCCCCATAACTTGAGCGAGAGTGACTTTGAAGACCTGGCCCGTAAGACAGAGGGGTTTTCTGGTTCAGATATTTCCGTTTGCGTAAGTCTGGAGCCTAATGAGTTTGACTTTATGTAGTACGTCTGACATGTCCGTTGCCAGTTTGTAGTTTGGGAAGAAATCTTTTCTCCAACTCCAATCCCGCCTGGTAAACAATGAAGGAAAACAAGGGTGCAATTCCTCTATGTTCTGCTAATGTATGTATACTTGCTCTTCCTGGACAGGTCAAGGACGTGCTATTTGAACCTGTACGTAAAACGCAAGATGCTATGTTCTTTACTCAGACTTCTAATGGTACCTGGGTGCCATGTGGACCAAAGCAACCGGGTGCTGTGCAGACAACTATGCAGGAGCTTGCTGCTAAAGGACTTGCATCCCAGGTACTCTGGATACATCTATAGTTTGAGATCGCTACGATAATTAATTTTTCACTTGGCCGCTAAACTGTATCTTGTGCTTATATGGGTTTTAGCTGGATATATTGGGGGTCAATAGTTGCACATTCCTGGAAACTTGACTTCCTTGAGTCATTCAGTAATTAAGTGTGATTCTACTGTATATTTTGATAAGGTTTACGCATCATACACGTATGTTGAACTACATACAAAAGAGATGGAGCAGTTACTGAACTACATCTTCATAAGTTTCTATCCTGAATGGCTAGATTACCCAAAAGAAAGGGTAGCCGATATCACCTGATATTTTAGTATGATATGGGTTTGGATAAGTTGTCCTTCTAACTGGATGGACTAGTTAAAACAGCTTGCTGTTTAATGCCTTTGCAGATAATCCCGCCACCCATTACAAAGACAGACTTTGACAAGGTTCTCGCACGTCAAAGACCAACAGTGAGTAAATCTGACCTTGAAGTGCATGACAGATTCACAAAGGAGTTTGGAGAAGAAGGTTGAAGAAATTGATTCATCACTGGTAACTGCTATACCTGGAGTTGCCATGATTTGTATTCTCTGCTTCTTGTATGAAAAATTTGCGATATTCATCATAGGCTCTTCAAACGGGATGTTGACATTCTTTACCCTTTTAGGAATTGTGTTAGTTTTAGCTTTGCATGTATCTATCATTGTCAAGACAACATTGCAAGAATCTTTGGTTGTATGCCTTTTACAATTCTAATTGCAATCACTTTATTCACAAATTGTCAGCACTTGCTCCCATTCTTTTATATTGTAGCTTCTCCGGAAATGCCAAACCTGCTGGTTGAATGGTGACAATGAATAGTGCAAAAGTTAGTAACCTCTCTTTTCTTGTGATCAGCTTAATTAATGTGACAGTTTAACTAGAATTTCCGAGTGTTACCGGTTGGGAATATATTAAAGGAAAAAGTACTGCTGCTCTGTTTATAGTGAGACATCAAACAATTTCCAAGTGTTTACCTGACATCAAAGACTTGCCATCAAAGAACAAAATAGTGAGAATTGGTTCCTCATCTGCAACATTCCAGTCGATGTTAAACTGAATCACCAGCCTCCAAATTTAAATTTCAGTCATGTTTGTAGTCATTTCATAACCTCCTACTTACCTTTTTTAAGTTTTCAAGGTGATGCCTCTTAAGTAAAATACAAGTGTGCTCAAGCTCATGATTGGTGCAAGCTTCATCTTCAAATGGATCTAACATGTGTGGGCGCACATTCTTTTAAACATTTCTTAACTAATAACCTATATCACTGTGGTTATTAGGATATGGCAGATGCATGAAGACTCAATCATACTTTGACTGCATGTGGATTATAAGTATATCTATATTGCATGAACGAATCATATTACTTGAACAATCTAATCGGTCAGTCAATTAGAATCATGAAATACATGACTGAATAAACGACTCATTCTTCATTAATAGGAATCACGAACGGTAGCAAAACAATCCAAGTTGCATAATAAGATCCATCATAACCTAGAACAAATTTAGCTCAAGATAGGACTTTAAGAACATCATTGTTGAACTCCTGAACATCAAGAATCTAGGAATTAAATAAGTAGAAAGAAAAAGAATATCTGGTTAAAACCCTTGTCTTGTCAAGAATTCTTTTCTCAGTCCTTGTTCTCTCCTCAAAAACTCCATCCAAGATTCCTTTTAGACATACTACAAGCTTCTCTTACAGAACCCCCCCCAAGAATCCTCACCAAACAAGGAAACCTAACAATTTCCAGAAAACATAGTTGACCACAGATGCACACAAGTCGAAAAGCCAGTACATATGCACAACCTCTCTTCTCCAAGTCTGATGTATACACGCACAAAGGTCAACAGAATCAAAAGATTGGCGAATATGCACCAGCATCCCAGCACATATGTGCTAGGCAACTGCTATTCCATTTTTCTCCCCTCGTCTTTGTAGCTACGTCCTCATTAGCAATTGAGTCCGAAGCTTCATGTTGCCAGTAACAAAGGAAGAAAATAGTGAGGATTTAGTCAAGTTTCAAAAAATCAGGGAAAACCTAAGATAATTCAACTCATTGCGTCAATATAAAAATCAACTCATCAGTTAGATGAACTTCAGTAATGTAGCAAGGCATAAACACATTTAAAGGTTCTCACCAGTATCTGAATCAATAGCAGCATCGAGGATATAGATCTTCTAGAAGAGGTTTATATGGGTAGCAGGGAGATCTCCATGGTTTCAGCCAGGTTAAAAGACATTACTGAATGGTCCTTCCTGGGCGCGTTTATTTCCAGATCCTTCATGAATTTGGCATGCTCAGTAGGTTATAATGAGAACATAATCATAAAGAAGAGTAGAAATGAAAGAGCAGCTAGTTGATCTTTGCATCGTTGCTGCAAGATCACCTTTTCTATAGAATACAGCCTTAGGAGCATCAAGGCCAGAAAAACCATGTTGAACAGCATACTAGCAGACGTACTTTGAATCTGGGGGTAGTGACAAGAGGCACCACCTCTTGTAGCTGCAGGAGAAAACCCCTCCACTCAAATTAACGCTTCTGACTGTTATCTCTAAGGCCGATCAGGGTGTTGACTGCTCTTGAAAGATCAGCCAAAATAAGAACTCTGCTATCTCCTCAGTCCGTAAATAAAATCTCATGACTTCCCTAAGATATCTGAAGTTGGCATAGTCTCTGTTTCTTCCTCTTGACAATGCAGTATCAAAGGTTGGATCCATGAACATTACAACCATTATGATAGCACTATCTGGAAGCTGATAATTGATGCAACTCTGGATATAGGCCTGTCAGCTAAAGCTCCATTAGCTAATGGAACCTTTGCCTCTATAAACACCAACAATGATATGCTGATATCTCTTAGTTCTTTCGAAGGAGCTTCAATTCACCAATAATCACCACACGAGCATAGACCTCCTTTAAAGTGATGGAATCTATTTGAATCCCTGACAACAATTTCCCTTCCTTCTATCTTTGAGATTAACTTAATAACAGTGTGACAGTCACCACAGACTCTGAGATTCTTCACAATGTGGATAGGAATTCCCGGAGATGTGGCAATTAATCCAAAAGCAATAGCTAACCTTTCACTATGCCGAGAAAGAATGGCTTCTTTATGTTCATCTTCCACGTCATGAAGAACATAATTCATATCTGGCTTATACCCTGCATCCTTCAACCAGACGTTTAACTCATCAAGTTTCATGTATATACTGTCAGATAAGGGATGTGAAACATCACCCGCCATGAATGAGTAGGTCTTGTTCTTAACCTCAATCCAGCTATAACCAATCTCCTTTTTAACTTTTCTCACATCCATTAGTTTTCTTACTTTTGCTCTTTCTTGCCAATTTCCAGTTGCAGCATAGAGATTAGATAGGAGGACATATGCAGCTGAGTCCTCAGGCTGAAGGGAAATTAGATTATCTGCGGCAAGTTTCCCAAGCTCTACATTGCGGTGAACTCGGCTTGCTGCCAGAAGAGTACGCCATACGATAGCACCAGCAGGAAATGGCATTCCGTTGATAAGAGCCATGGCTTTATCCAGCATACCAGCTCGGCTATACAAGTCTACCATGCAAGAGTAGATCTCCATTGTTGGTGAAATATGTAAGTCGTTTACCATCATGTCAAAATACTTTTGACCTTCATTCAGCAGTCCTGCATGAGTACAGGCAGAAATAACTCCAATGAAAGTTATATTATCCATTTCTAAATTCCTTTTTCGCATTTCCTCGAATATCTTTAGAGCTTTTCTGCCATAACCATGTTGTGCATATCCTGATATCATTGAGTTCCATGAGACTAAGTCTCTTTCTTGCTGTCTCTTGAAAACCTCATTTGCACTTTCTATGTTCCCTCTTTTAGCGTACATAGTAACCAGGGCACTGCTCACACATAAAGCATTACTGTGACCTGATTTTATTGAGCTTGCATGAAATTGTTTTCCTTGCTCCACCGATGCCATGGAAGTAGTGCATGCATTGATGACACTGGAGAAGGTAAACTCATTTGGCCAAACCCCACTTTTGGATAATTGCCGGAAAACTCTCACAGCACCTTGAATGTCTCCTCTTTGCGCATAACCAGATATCATAGCAGACCAAGCAATGATGTCCTTTTCATCAATCTCTTCAAAAACTTTTGCAGCCTCACCAATATTTCCTGTTTTCACATAAGCGTCTAATAATGCAGTTCCTACAGTAGGTGAACCTTCGTACTTGGTTTTGATAATTTCTGCGTGTACTTGGAACAAAGAAATAGAGGGTTGAGCAGCAAGAATAGTTGAATAAGTGAAATCGTTTGGTCTAATACCATCCTTTTTCATTTGGCAAAAGAGATTTGCTGCTTGCTCTGGTCTATTATTCTGCATATACGCCCCAATCATCGCTGTCCAAGAAACCACATTCCTGAATGTGTGCATCATACAGAATAAGTTGAAGGCATCATCCATTTCCCCACACTTAGTATAAGAGACCATGAGTGCCGTTCTAATATTATTGTCTAAATAGAACCCGTTCTTTGTTACGCGACCATGAAGCTGCCGAGCAAAAACCAATTCTTTAAGGTTAGTACATAATTTGACAGCTGTAACATAGATCGACCGCGTCAGTTCCACACCTGCAAGTCTCATCATGTGGAACAACTTAACTGCTTCAGAATAAAGCCCATTAATCACAAGACCAGCAATCATGCCATTCCAAGACACTTCATTCCTATTTCCCATACTTTTAAATACAACTGTGGCCTCTCTAACCATCCCAGACTTCAAATACATATTGATCAAAGAATTTCCCACAGATGTTATCACCTCAAAACCACACTTGATAACCATAGTATGCACTTGAATTCCTTTTTCAACTGCACATTTATCGGCCAAAACTCCAAGAACTGTTGCAAAAGTAAACGCATTAGGATTAACTCCTCCAACTAACATCATATGAAACACTTGTAACGCTCTATCAACCAGCTTATTGCACGAATAACCCGAAAGCAACGAAGTCCAAGTCACAACATTCTTGTCCTCCATTTCGTCAAACACTCTCTGACCTTCATCCGCGTTCTCCATTTTCATGTACATGTCAACAAGTGAAGTCCCAACACTAACATTGTCAAAATAACCGGATCTTATACAGAGAGCATGCACTTGTTTACCAAAAGTTAGATCAGACAGGCATGCACAGACCTTCAATATACAAGAAACGCTAGATCCATCAATCAAAAGTCCTGTACGATGAATACCCACAAAGAGATTCAGAGCCTCTTCATTGAAACTGTTCCTGGAGTACTCAAAAAGTAAGTGATTGTTCAGAGAAACTCTCTGTAGATTTTCATCAAACAGGTGGTGCGCGTGGCGATAATCTGAACATTCAGCTGGTTCAGTTTGAGTTTCTGCTGCCAAATCAATGGCGTGCGAATGAGAACAATAATGGTTGTCTAATGGATTCTTGAAATGCAGGAGCGGCCTTATTTTTTTAAAACAGGGCCTTACAATCATTGCTCGTTTTGCTGGCTTTACAGTTGGAACCGTTAGAACTGAAATTTAAATGTTCGTCTCTGAATCGGGTCGAGTTGTCATGACCCGCCAAGCTTTTACACTATATATCTGTTGGTAACCCTATAAAGTGAGATTTATAAGGGAGAAATTTAAAAATAGCCACATTTACAAGTGGTAATTGAAAAATAGTCACAGTTTCAAAAGTAATCGAACTTTAACCATTTTTTAAAACAGGGCCT